AATATGGAAAAGTTCAAGGGGTATGAATACTTTTGCAAACCACTGTACAACCGTTTGGGTTGAACCTGGTAAACAACGTTAAGCAGAATGTTGGCAACATCTTGCCTGAGGAGTCAGAGCCACTTTCACGAAACCATCTTGAATCTAATCGACTCTAAAAGGTAGGAGTTGTTGATGCACGTCCAGGTCAATGCTWMWGGAGATATTTTGCTAACGCGTACAGAGAGAGGTTTATGAGAAKTAGAACTTACAGCTGATCTTTCTTAGAAACAGAAGCAGGCAGAGAACATTCCTGTAAACAAAGAAATTGTTTAGCGACAGGATTGTTGTTTACATGTAAACAYGTATAACAAAAAGCTGTTTTATGATGTTTAAAGTGTTTAAATCCATCTTTTTGTTGAACTGAGTTGCTTTGGAGCAAAGTTTAACCTGCTTTTGAAAGAGTTTATCAGAATTTGTGCCTTTTTTTAAGTGAATCATAGTTTCAGAAGCAAAGAGGAACATTTTGAGTAAAAAGCCTCAAACAAACAGGAAATCGAAGCGTGACAAACCTTTGGGCAGACCTGAACTGTGCTTCCTTTCAGGTTGATGCTCTTTATGCTCCTCAGCTTCTCGGCATCTTCCTGGTTCTTAAAAAGCACGTACGCCTTCACGTGCACAAACAAACAAACTCTGACACCAGGTTCTCTCAACGTTATGACATTAAACACTATTTAAAAAAAAAACGTCTCTTCACTCCCTGAGTTCACTCACCTCTTCTTTAGACTTAAYTGGAATGATCGACTCGGTTTTCCCAAACAGCTCCAAGGCGTTGAGCAGGTCAGCGTGAGTGCTTTCAGGAGAGACCCCTTTGAGTTTCACCAGCCTCACAGATGAGGGTACTTCCTGATTAGGATAATAAAAAMAACAATCATATCAAAACCTTACATTTATAAATATTTACAGGATAAAAAAGAGGCATAGATGTAATCAAAGAGGTGATTTAAGCAGTGAATTATGTAAAACATGCAGGATAGAGCTGATGGAATCTTCTTGATCTGTTTACTTGTCAAAACTTTGTTTTTAAAGACATTAGAGACTTTGGATGAACTGACCACATAAATAACAGAATTACATTCAAATCTAATTTCTGCTTGAAATACCAGATCTGCTTCATCTGCCTTGTTGAGTTTTGAACCATCTGCAGACCTCCAGAACTTTCCCTTGGTAGCCCAGAGAGAASAGCATCGCAGTAGTCGATGCGTGAAGACACAAAYGYGTGGATGAGGACCTCTGCGTTTTTAAATGAAAGCACGTGTCTAATTTTTGCGACGTTCTGAAGATGATAAAAAGCGGTCTTTGTTATCCTTTTTAAAAGAGACTCAAAAGAGAGCACAGGGTCAAACAAAACGTCCAAATTTTTGACCTTTTCCCTGCATTTCATGTTATAATCATCGAACTTCAAACTAATATTTTGGGACAACCCTTAGCAAAAAGTAGTTTAAGTGTACAAGTATACTTATTTTACAAATAAATTAATAAATAAATAAAAAAGAGTAAGTATAGTGAAGTATACTTGGTCCTATACTGAAAGTATAAAAAGAAGTTTAAGACTAAGTACATTCATAACTACTGTATTTATTC